TTCCTCAGCCAGCAAAGCTGGCTGAGGAATTCTGGGAGTTGAAGTCCACAAGTCTTAAAGTTGCCAAGGTTGGACACCCCTGCCCTAAACTGTGATAACTAGAAGGGGCCCTAATAACAGAAACAATATATTTGCTTTTAAACAAACCCAAACCAGAAATTGGCAAATGGCACTTATGGAATCCGGGCTGTATGTATGTATGTATGTATGTATGTATGTATGTATGTATTTTAAAATTTATTAGCCAGCCATCTTACCACAGGATAACTCTGGATGGCTGAACTCACGAATATAACTCACGATATAAAATTGAATTAAAATGAAAATATTTTTTTTCAGAATTGACTAACATCTCATAACGTTTTGTGCTCTTGTTCAGAAAACCCAAATTTCATGGAAATACAGCATTTTTAAATAGGATCTTGCAAGATGTCAGGATGAATATGCCCCAATCTACCCAAATTTTGGAATCTTGTAAGATAATAAGAGGTCTTCAATTCTTTTGGGTTTAGCAAGAGCTGCTTCATGAGATTTACCTAATGACACCTACAAATGAAAAGACTGCCAGAATCCTATTTTATGCACACACAAATGTATAAATCTTCTGATAGCCTTTGTCTCTCACCTCAAGCTCTTGATATTGTCACAACTGCCCCAGATGTCCAAGTAGTCCAATTCCATGAGGCAGCCATCAAAATCCAAGCACACACCCTGAGGACTTCCATTGATCAGAAAGGCTAAAGTCACCATGTCGAAGGGCATCAACCTGAAGTTTCTGAATTGATATTTGAAACATAACTTTTCTGCAACATGCCGTGCTAAGCTAATGTCTTGGGTCTCGTACACACAGTGGCACAACTCTACTATCTTGGGCCCTGTTAAATTAGCAGCCGCGAGTTTCTGCAATATCTTCATGATAATACTTTGCCGTTCCTGAATCCAGACCACGTTTTGCCCAGCTAAGGAACAAAGGAATTGTCTACATTCTTGAGATGAAAGACCAGACAAGAAGACATGGTAGTTCTCTGTAAAGGGCATCCTTGTCTCTTTCTTCAGAATCCATTTTTTCATCAGGAAGAAGTTCTCTTTCAACATCTCGCAATCTACTGTTGGGCTTGTCAACAGGAAGAGGACTGCAAAGAATTCTTGCCAGCTAAAATGAGCAAAAGTGTAACCTGATTGCATGAGGTCTTGCTTGCCCATTTTCACTTCATAGGGCAAAAGAAGACCAAAGCGACAAGAAAAATCTTTCACGTGTGTTGGGACCTCTCCAGCATCAAAAACCCCTTTCCTCTCTTCAAGGCCCTTGAAGGCTATCTCACATAGATCTGCAAGGATTGCTTGATGTTGAGCCATGTCTATTTCATTCAAGGTCCTCCTACCCTGATGTTTGCAGATGAAGGTCTGGAGCATTGTGAGGTAAACCTGGGTCCTGGTTTGAGGGAGGTGGATACTCTCCGAGTCTTCAAGGAGCAAATGCTCCAGACAGATGCAGACAATGTGACACAACACAGGGAGGTAACACATGCTCAAGAGTTTGCCATTTTCGTTCAGAAGAGCAAGAGCTTGCTGTTTCTGCAAAGGCTGTTGGAAAAAATAGCTAACATATTCCTCAACTTTGTCACAGTTGAAACCCCAAACTTCTGCTAGCAGGATGCTACTTCTGACTAATCCTGCAGGGAGTTGCTTTAGCTGGCTTGTAATCAACACTGTGCAACCTGGCAAGAATTTTCCATGGCAAAGATGAGCCACTAGGTCAGAGACAGAAAGAGGTATGACAACATCTGAGAAGCTGGTGAAGGAATTGGATGGGAGGCCAATGTTCTCCATGAGCTCATCCAGACCATCCAAAATGACCAAGGTCTGTCGGGCATTCTCCTGGAGAAATTGAAACACTGCTTCAGGTTGATCTGGTTGGAGGAAATAATCAAACAAGAGTTCTTGGAGAGTTAGTTTTCTCTTGATGAGGTTCAGCTGCTTAAGCTCAAAGAAGAAGATCAATTTGAACTGGGGGAAGACTCCCTCAGCCCATTGCTGACAGATTTTATGAACTAACCATGTTTTTCCCATTCCAGCCTTGCCCCAAAGTAGAACAACCTGGTTGATGTACATGTGGACACTTTTGAAAAGCTCGGACAAGTTCATCATGGATTCACGTGGGGACATTGGTTCCTCTTTGATTTTCTCTGCTCCCGCCTTCAACTTGGATGCTTTGCTTTGATGGATGACAAGGTTGACAAACTTTTGGCTGAAAGCCAAGGGCTGATCTTTCGTTTCTGCTGCTTCCGCAGAGTGGCTAATTCCATATTTTCTAAACATCGAGCTGTGGATGTGTTGAATGTATCTTTCAGCAGCATCTGGGAAAGGCATATCAGATATCATCCAATGGCAATGTTTATACAGGTAAAAGACAATTAAGGTAAAGGTAAAGGTTCCCCTGGTACATACATGCTAGTCATTTCTGGCTCTAGGGCAGGGGTGGGCAAACTTTTTGGCTTGGGGGCCTCATTGACTTTTAAAATTTGACAAACGGGCCTGGTCAGCACAAGATACGATACATATAAAAAACTGCAAAATCTCTGCAAAATCAAGTCACTGCGCCTAATGTGCCACCTTGTGTCAAAATGCCTGTCATTACAAGTCAAAATCAAATGAATGCAATCATTCAATCATTCACATCAAAACTTAATTCTGTACCAATCTTCGGCGGGCCGGATTAAAAAGACCAATGGGCCGGATGTGGCCCGCGGGCCATAGTTTGCCCACCCCTGCTCTAGGGGCTGGTGCTCATCTCCATTACAAAGCCAAAGAGCCAGAGCTGTCCGAAGATGATGCCATGCCAGCATGACTAAATGTCAGATCCGTGTATCTGTCATTTCTTCAGTGGAAGAAGAAAAGGGGGGGAGGCTGATAAAGAAATCCTTTCTTGATGTAACCTGAATATATTTAATCTTATATCAAATTTGTATAACCCACACATAATACAATGGAGGGAGAAAAGCCAGATGGCCAGAACCTATCACCTCCGAGAGGCACAGCCAGGAGATGAGAAGATCATAAAAATTCCAGGGAGGTGTATCCAGGGAATCTCTGGAAAAGTTCGTTCTCAAAAGGGGGTGGGGGGAGAAATTAGGTATGCTCTGGGAAACTGTGAGAAAGATCGTTCCTATAGAAAGGGTGGGAGGGGAATTAACATACTGGCTTTTGTTTCTCTAAATACACATCGAGATAAGGGGAGGGGTTATAAACTCCCTTACATATCCCTGTATGCCTGAGGGAACTCAGACGCTGCTTTGAACTCCTACATGAATTGTCTCATCTCAATAAAGGATTCCTTTCTGATACGTTTTGATACGTTTTCAGAAGTTCGTTCTAGTTGAGTGAATGGGAACAGTTCTGTAGCCTGCATGACTAAACGCCGAAGGCGCACGGAACGCTGTTCCCTTCCCACCAAAGGGGCTCCTATATTTCTACTTGCATATTTTTACATGCTTTCGAGCTGCTCGGTTGGCAGAAGCTGGGACAAGGAATGGGGGCTCACTCTGTTATGCAGCGCTAGGGATTTGAACCACCGAACTGCCGACCTTTCTAATCGACAAGCTCAGCGTCTTAGCTATTAAGCCACCGCATTCCCCTAAAAGGCAATAATTGTCCCCAAACTCCAAAGGACATTAACTTTAGCATGCTGCAATGCACTTTCCACAACAGTCTTGAAGGGCTGATATAAAAAAAATTCCCTATAAGCTTAGACTGCCCTTTCAGATGAAGGACCTATAGCTCACATCCTAACTAATACTGCATCTTCATGGACCTACCTCATAACACCTGATAAAATAACTAAGAAATGCTGGTCTTTTTTATTTATCGGCTCAGTCTGATGTAATTTTTGATCTTTCAATGCAGCTGAATTTTGTTATACTATTTGCAAAATTAGGCAGGCCTGATGCCCATTGATAATCCACCACCATTTTTAAAATATGATCTTGTTTTTATTTTTTAATGCTTCTTTTTTGTAATGCTGGTCTATGACAGTGATAAAATTACAGGTAGCCCTCAGTTTATGACTGTTTCAAGTTAAGACCCATCTGAAAAAGGGGGCTTATGATCTGGAGCCAAAGAGCTAAAAGTCACCTCCCTCCCTCCTTCCTCTGTGGTCACATGACTGCATTTCAAGCGCTTGGCAACATGGCTGCATGGACGGCCATTTGTAACATCCTGCTGTCACGTGACTTCATTTTTATGTCAGATTTGCCCAAAATCAGCGGCACTTCCAGTTTTTGGCAAAAGTATACCACAGCAAGTAATGGTTTCACTTAATGACCATGCCATTCACTTAATGACTGCAGTCTTTATTTTAAGACTGTGGCTCTTGCTTACCAACCCCTGCCAAAAAAAAGGATGTAAAATTGGGTCCGTCATATGACCGACCTATTTTATGCTTGTTACCAATTAACAAGCATACAATCACAATTGGCAGGCTCCATTACAGTTGTGACATTAAGGACCACCTGTAATTACAACATTTGTTACCAGTATTGTTTCAATCAACAGCAGGTTCGTTTCTAAGATATCTGAGATAAGAGCATAACTTGCTCAATCATTTAAAACTAAAAGGAAAAATGCCTTCCTGTTGGCTTTCATAAATATTTGTTATCAATAAATCAATTCGATATGCAGGATGTTAGGAAACGAATGGGATAAAGAATTAGAAATTCTCATGTTATTGAAATAATGGGGAGTATCTTAACATCTAGAGCAAGTATGTTAATGGACCTCAAACTATGACTTATACAACAAAAAAATAATAGTTAGAAAGATCCATCTCATCCTGGGCACCCTTTTTTTTTTGAACTATTACCATCTGGCAGACAGTACAGGACAATAAAAACAAGGATAGATAGTGTTAGGTATAACATTGATACCAAATATGGTTTGGGTGAATAAATAT